TTCCCCCATCGGCTCTCCCACCTATAGGGGCAGGTGTATCTACATTCCCCTTCCAAAGAAGTTTTTTGTTCTAAAGGTTGAATGATGGAATTTATTTTTAGATCTTTTCTTAAGCCTTCCACATCACTTCATAATCTAGCAGATTTTTCCACTTGATCAGTATCTCTTTTGCTCTAGCCTCTCCTTGGTGCAGTCCTTCGACCTCTAAAGGTTTTAGAATTACCTTCATGTCCTCTATCAATGGCGGAAGTAGTGAAGATGAGGGTGTATTAGCTCTGATAACACGCCTCAGCTGCGAAACATGGAAGACTGGATGTAGTGATAATGATAGTGATAACCTCAAATGGTAGGCCACTCTTCGATGCTTGTCGTCACCTCATTGAGTCCAAAATATCATGAAGAAAGTTTCACTCCACCTGACCAATGTCTTCTGCCTGTAAGGCCTTTGTTTCAAGTAAACCATGTCTCTGGTTGCAAATTGCATCTCTCTCCTATATCCATCTGCTTTTCTTTCACGATCTGTCTCAGTAGATACCTCTTGAGCTTCTCCAATATCTTGTCTGTCTTCTCCAAGTAATGGTCGACACTGGATATCAGTGTACTACTGCCCATAATGTAGCTGGTTAGGTGGATCCCGTTCATATAGAATCTTGAAAGGGGTGGTCTATGCTACAATTTGGTACGAAGTATTATACTACTATTCAACCCACGCGATCCACTTGACCTAAAGCTTCGGCGTATCCGGCACGAAACAACGTAGGTAACTCTCCACGCCTTTCTTGACAAGCTCCGTCTAGCAATCTGTCTGGGGATGATATGTTGTGCTTCTTTTAAGGACTGCTTCTTGTAACCTGAGTAACTCCTTCCATAATTGGCAAAGGAACACTTTGTCTTTGTTTGAAATAATGAATTCTGACATCGCAAATAGACTACTTCCGGTATGAACACCCTAGCGATTGAAGCTGCAGTATAAGGGCATCATAATGAAATGAAATGGGCATACTTGCTCAGACAATCCACTACTACTAAGATTACTGTAAACCCTTCTGATCATGACAGTCCCTTTATAAAATCTATCATAACTTTTTCTCAAATCTTCTCCGGTAAAGTTAAGTGTTGTGGCAACTCTTGGCGCCATGATCGAATACTTGTGTTGTTGGCACACATTACACCTTGCCACCATGCCCTTTATATCTCTGT